TGGGCCTTTTATTGCAACAAAGATTCCATTCAGGTTCACTCATGACTAAAACTAAACCCATGGAAGGGAGAAAGCAGGTCAGAATTGTAGACTGCTTTCATTCCTATTGTGGATAACCTTTGCATGGGCGAAACTGACCACCCAAGCAGCAGGGTTTGCACAAGAATCTACAGACCCCAGGCACTTCAGCAACTGAGCCTCTGTCCTGCATCAGCCCTGTGCTCTGAAAGGGCTTCCATGTTTAGTTGCCAAGCAGCCCAGCAGGGCTCCCCAGGGAGTAGGGAAAGTGGGCCAGCCCACCAGCCAGGCTCTGTTCAGGCTCACTTGGCAGGAGGTGCAGAGGGCAGGTCCACTCCGAGCCAGCTGGCCGCCTCCCACTTGCAAGCCCAGCAAGTCTGGGCCAAACTGCCTCGCTTCCGTTCTCTGTGGCTGCGAGTTTCCCCAGCACAGCTTCTGGTGGAAGCAAAGGCAGCTGGCACAAACAAACAGCCCTTCAATCCTGTTCTTGACATGCTGTTGCCAAAATTCAGTTTGAAGGAATAAAAGGCAAACATAAACCTCAGCTCCTGCTGGAGAAGTTGTTTAAGCTAAAAGAAACCGAAGGGAGTGAGCGGCTCAACTGCTCTAATTTACTCACACATTTCTGCTGTCAAACTGTGGGAAAGATTCCCCTCTGGAATAAAAGAAAAGCTCTTCAAGACATCTGTCAACTTATTTCTGAAAAGTCCGCTTCCACAATTGGCGATTCTAAGAAAGGTGGGCGAGGGGAGCGCTGGCTGTCGTGACGTCCTTTGCAGTTAGTAACTCGAATGCTGGCTGGCTGGCTCGGTGGGCTGGTAACAGAGGTGCCTGGGGCCTCCTTAGCTTGATTCCTATCCACCTGTGACAGGTGTTCTTCACCTTGATGCCAAGGGCCCCTCTGCAGGCTGGGGAAAACTATGGAGTAATGCTCATAATGCATAAAATAAAATATACCAGACTGTAAAGAAAACCAGTTAGACTGAAATACAGTTATCAAAATTTATTCAAAGCTGGGCATGGTGGTACGTGCCTATAGGTCCAGCTACTCAGGAAATTGAGATGAGAGGATCACTTGAGCCCAGGAGTTCGAGACTAACGTGGGCAACATGGTGAGACTCTTATCTCAAACAACAATAACAACAACAAAAAATGAAGCAACAAGATTGAGTAGTAGTTATAAAAACCCCCTTAATTTCAAAGTAGTGATGATTGTTCATGCCATTTCAAGAGGTCTGTAAAGTGATGTGTAAGTAAATGATTTCTTTGGGGGACAACATCACAGAGCTTGTTGCCCACCTTCATAACTGAAGGGAACAGCAAATTTCAGCTAGAGGTTAATGAAAAGAAAAATGTAATGTTTTTCTCATCCAAGTTTGCAGACTCCCCTGAATTCTAGGACTCCTAGATTAAGATGTTTCTTTTTCTGGGCTGTTGAGAAAGAGTACTATGCTGCTGGAGACAAAGGGGCCAGGTCCCGCCCTGGTCCCACTTCCTAGGTCCTAAGCCAGAGAACGTGTGCCGTCTCGCCTGGAGGCCCCTGGCCGGGCAGCTCTCTACCTGCAGTGTCCTTCCTGCTCTCCATCACCTGCCTGGCCCTAACTGGTCCTTTAGGATGCAGCAGATGGCACCCCTTTGGGAAGGCCTTCCTAGCTCCCAAAGGCTGGTACAGGGTTGGGAGTATCCTCTGTGGTGCCAGAGCACCTGTGCCTCCCCCTATTATTGATCTTCTTGACTGTGGTGACATGACCTGCCTATGCCACCTGTCCCCACCCCTTGTACAAGAATGCGAGTGCCTTTGGGGCCGCAATAATGGCTCATTAATCATTGTGTTCCTGTTCTTGAGCACCGGGCTTGACACACGGAAGACCATTCATATATATTTACTGAATGCATAGATGAATGGACGGATGAAAGCTGTGACCACACCCAGCCTGCCTCCTCTCCTTGCAAGAATATTCCTTGCTTCACACCATTGATTCTCAACGCTGGTTATATGTGAGAATTGCTTTTGGAGATTTTAGAAAACAGCCCTCAGAGGTTCAGATTCCAGTGGTCTGGGGTGGGGCCTCAGCCTTTGTATTTTTCAAATACCACCCAGGCACATTGGGGTTGAGAACCCATAGTACCACAAGAACAGCAGCCGAGGTGAGAGTACAACGAATGAACTTCTTTCCTACACTCAGAAAGATAAAATTAGTGTAGAATTCTGAGTTCTGCAAGGGGCTTAACACATAAATTGGGTTTCTTAACCTCAGAGTCAGGTCACAGTTCCGAATCCAGTAACGTCTGTGATGGCTGGACTATACTCTCAGATGAAAAAATGAGGGGCTCGACAGTGTAGACTGTGACACAAATTGCAAACCCCCGCAGACAAGCACACTGAGGCCCCTGCTCTGCCCTCTCACACCAAGAAATCCTTGGGAAAAAGGGCCCAATCCTGGGGCACAGCACGTCTTTCAGCTGAGGATTCCCAGTGGTGTGGCTTCCTCATCCACAAAGCAGAGATGATGATAATAATGTCAAACCTCAAAGTGTTGTCGAGGCACTGAAGGGGATGAAAGCATTTTGTAAGTCCCCAAACCTGTTACTGAGATGAAATCTTTATCATTTAATTCTGCTGACTGAGTTCTTATAGGCAGAAAGATAAGGCTCAGTGGTTAAGAACATGAATTCTAGAGCCAGACTCCCCGGGTTCCAATTCTAGCTCCGTCTCTTTCCAGCTGTGTCATCTTATGCAAATTACTTAACTTTTCTGTGCCTCAATTCCTCATCTGTAAAATGGTGATAATCATGGCAGCTACCTCCTAGGGGCTTTGGAAGGTTTGGCTGAGTTAATACACTTAAAGTGCCTAGAACGGTGGTTCTCAAACTCAAGCATGCAACAGAATTGACTGGAGGGCTTGTTAAAACCCTGGTTGCTGGGGTCCAAGAATTTGCAAATTCCTAGGTGATGCTGATCTTGCCGGTCTGAGAACCACACTTTGAGAACCACTGTGTTGAAACAATGCCTGGCATACATTAAGCGCCCAAAAAGTGTTGGTTTTTGTTTTCTTTTCCTGGGCCCTACTTTCTTAGTCCCAGAGCAAAACATTTTATGCTCCAATGCTACTCAGTCCTGCCTTTGTGTAGAAGCAATTTTGAAATCTTCTACTTGTAGTGGTTCTCAAAGTATGGTCCCAAAACAAGCAGTGCCAACGTCTACTTGGAGTGCAAGGTCTTGGGCCCCACCCAGACCTACTGAATCAGGAACTTTGGAGACTCAGTATCCTGTGTTCTAACAGCCTTCCAGGTGATTCTAATGCACACCAAGTTTAAGAACAGCTCTACTAGAAAATCATCACCATCACAATGACCCTTGCTGAAAATGTCTAGGGAGGCAAGACAGCTTAAGGGCCAGAGTATAGTTTTTAGTTGAATTGGAGTCTAAGATCCAGCTCAGCTTCTTACTCACCTTATGGCCTTAAGTGAGTTATGACTCTCGTTTAAGCTGCAGTTTTCTCATCTGTAGAATGGGCATCATTCCTGGACCTACCTCACAGCAACCTTAGATGATACAAATGAAGCGCTTGGCACATACTACCTGCTCAAAGAGTGTTAGCTGCCATTATTATCATCTTTGCGATTGTTTATGATACGTCCTCTCTCAACGTGATTTGAGATAGTTTATGACAAAGACACAAATTTATAAGTACACAGGATAGCTAAAATAAAGATTTAAAAAAAAAAGAAAAAGAAAGAAAAACATCACACACAGAAAGTGGAGAGAGTGAAGGCTGAAAAAGTCACTGCAGCCAGGTGGGTGCATGGCACACACCAATAGCACCAGCTACTTGGGAGGCTGAGGCCGGGGGAATCAGGAGTTTGAGACAACAGTCTTGGCAACATAAAAAAAAATTTACTATAATCGTCGTCTAAATTGGAGTCTGAACTTCCCTGTAAGCCATGTTCCAACTCCCTGAAAAGAAGAAGGAGGTGGCTCTCCGGGAGACACGGTGTCATTGCCCGGCCCTGCCACACTGCGATCCTTTGCACAAAGGCCTGTGGAACAGGAGGGAGTCTCCGCCAGCACTGGTCCCTGCGCCTGTTACTTTACTTAATTCTCAACAGGAGCCGGGGGCAAAATCCTTAGATCCCAGAATCTGCGAGATGTTACACTCACTTTGGGTGCCGGATGTCAGGGAGAGAACGGTTCAGGGAGATTTTATCACTGACGTAGATGTTAAATCCATTTTCTCGGTAGGCCTGATCCACTCTCTCAGCGTCGGTCATGGGGTAAGGTCTCCCTTGTTCTCCATTTCCTAGAGGCAAAGAGCAAATTCAGTGTTGCTAATAACAACTATGGGGGCCCTGTGTGTGGCGTGGGGGGAGAAGGATGAAAAATATGCTTAAACCACAGAGATAAAACTTGACACTTAGACACAGAGCGTAGCTCCAGATTTTGCAATGGGGAGTGCCAAGAGGGGAGGGGAACACGCATTTATTCATCCACTTTATCGATTTTGTGCTCATGTAATCACAGCAGCCCCGTAGGGTGGACATGAGAGATCTCATTCCTTAGAAAGACACATGGAGACTCAGAGAGGTTATCAAACCAGGTGTGTGGCTTCCAAAGTCTGTGCTCCTTCCATTTGGTCAGGAGCCCCAAACATCTTTGCCCTCGGAGACCAATCACCTGGACAGGAGGCCGGGACCACCGTTTATGAGCTCATCAACCTTGGGCAAGTCTCATCCGCTTCCTCCTCTGATACCCACGGCACGTTTGAGAGAGTCAAAAGAGAGGGTGCCTACATGAAAGCTCTTTGTAAACTATAAAACACTACATAAATGTGAGAAAAGATGATTTCTCTCTAGGTAAGGCAAACTTTATATGTAAATCAAAATTGCCATAAATGATAAATGGTGCTTTGATTTTTAAATTTTTACAAAAATTTTAAGAATTTTATTATGATTTGTTATGGTCTGGATGACAGTTCAGCTTTGATTTTTTTTAAAAGCCAGCAAACAAATTTTAAGATCTGCCTACCCTAAGCTAGAACTGCCTGAAAAATGTTGCTTTGAGTCACGGATTTGGGTGGATAAAGGGCTAGCTTTCCTCTCTCTGCACAGTCCATCTGGGGGGAAGAGTTGCTGGTGCTCCAGGAAATTATTCTGTGGGTTTCTAGGGTGTGTGCATGGCGAGTGGGAAGGTCCACACCGACCCCTGCAATACTAGCTCAAGAATCTGCCGTTGGTAAACATCCTGAAGAAACAGCAATAAAACCAGCTGATTAAATATCACCTCACCTTCTGGAGCTTGTGGTCTGAGCAACACTCATTTACTTTGCAAAGTAAACGCTGACAACATCAGCTTGCCAGGAAGGTGCAAGCTGAGAGGAGGAGCCCAAGGGCTGTGGCTACTCCAATCAGATGAGGGGTAGGACTGTGTTAGGGACAGGTGCGGGTTGGCAGCGCTAACCACAGGAAGAGAGGAGGGGGGCAGAAATGAGGAGGCCAATGAGCAGCGAGCACCAAACCCGCAACGGCAGGAACTTGAGGTTGGGGACCCTGGCAGACTCCACTGTCTATAACTTGTAATGCTCCCTGATAAGACACTGCTGACTAGAAGCGAGGACAGATTGTGCAAGGGACACAAATGCAGCAAGCCGCAAAAGAAGACCAGAAGCATTGTGCTCACAGAGGGAAGCTTCAGGAGGGCAGTTCAGGGGAGCCATGCAGACTTCAGGCTCTGCAATTGGGCAGAGTAGAGTTCGGAGGCCAGCCCTGCCAGTCGCCAGCTATGTCATCTTGGGGCTGCCTTCAGCCTGTCTAAGTCCCAGGTTTTGCCCTTTGTATTAACTGGAACAAGAAGGTCCAATGGGACGATGAAGGCAGTTGTGCAGGGAAAGCTGCCTGGCCCACAGTTAGAGTTGGACAAATGCTGGTTAGTGTTACTCTTAATGTCTCCGCTGCTGGTTACTCTTTTCTTGCTGGTTAGCCCAGCGTTCTAACAATTCCGGTGTAACTGTCTGGCAAATCAGCTCTTTCTATATGGTTTTCTTTCTTAATTTCAGCAGCGCCCCCACCACCACCCCCCATTTTAAATCACTGGCATACAGAAAAATGCATGTCGTGTCTTCAGATTTCCCTGACCACCAGTTAAGTTATGGTATCAACTCTCTTCAGAGTCTTGTGGTAAGCTGGTTTGTCGTGATGTAATTAAAACAAAAAAAATCAATAGCGGTTGGTGTCGTTAATGGAGATAAAAATGAATAAAATACCAATCCCTTATATTTCTACCTTGCTTTCCAGTATTGCAAAGCTACTTCATACTTAGCACTTTACTTGGCACCCTCATAACAATATCCGGTCAAAGCAGGAAGCACGAGCCCCACTGACAGATGGAGAAACTGAGGCTCAGGGCGTGTGGACTTCGTCTGATGGTCAGATGGCTGGTAAGCGGCATCAGAGCTGCTCCCCTGACTCCTTAGTCTGGGGTCTCTATAGATGATCCCGCCGTAATTTGTGTACCATCTTTCCCCAACCCTTCCCAACTCTCAGTGTGACAGGGACTATTCCGAAGGCTAATCAGCCAAAGAAAACTTTAGGCGAAGGCCACTGTTCACTCCCGCGGCTGCAGTGCTGGGTAGGGATCATGTCTGCCCTCCAGATCTGGGCTTGACCCCCACGTCTGCCTCTCTCCCACTGTGTGACTATAGGCAGATCACCACACCTCTTGGAGCTGCAGGTCCCTTATCGTTAAATGGGCCACAAAGGTTGATTTGGGGTTTCACAGAGAAAATCTGCAAGTGTGGAGCGTGTCCAAAAAATGGACATATCATAGGTGTCCAGAAATGGTGTTCTTGTTATCATTGCCCCCTGTTTGAGTGGTAAAATATCCTATATGGGGGATGCATTGCCTGTCACTCAATAACGGAGCAGGCAAATCCTTGCAGGCAGTAGATCTGGTGATGGGGGTGGAGAAAGGGGTCAGCTGACAGGCAAAGAGGGGCACCTGAGGATCAGGAAGGGCTGGTGGCAGCCAGGGAAGGAGGCGACAAGAGGTCCAGACACCCCCTGCTAAACACACACACGCAGAGGCACACGCACACGCATGCATGCGTGCACACGCCCTCCACGGAGCCTGCCCGTCGGGGACCCTGCCCGCCGTACCTACGCGCTGGGCGTCCTTCCAGATGGCCTCCTTGTCGTGCCAGTCCTTCAGCTTCTGCCCATCTCCTACGAAAAATGTCTTCTTTTGCCGACTGTGTGAGCCCTTAAAAAAAAAAGATAAAAACTGTGAAAAGGGAGAAAAGGAGAAATAAGTTCAGTTCTACAGACCCAGAAGTGACGCTGCCTAAGGGAGCTTTTGGCATCAGTTGATTTGGTATCGATGATCCGTCATCATTTGTTCATTTATTCATGCCCTCAGTGTACCTTTGTGAGTGCTGCCGTGTGCCAGCTAGGTGAGCCGAGGTCAGCGAGATGACAGAGCACGGCATCCATCCTTTGGGACTCACACACCAGCAAGGAGAAAAAAGATGGATACTTTCTTTTCACCCAAGGGAGAAGACAGTGCTAAGTGGCGCCGCCCAGCAGAAATATAATGCGAGCCACATATGTAACTTGGAATTTTCTAGTATCCACATTAAGAAAAGCAAAAAAAATAGGGGAAGTGTTAATAAAATATTTTATTTAACCCAATATACTCTACCTAAAATATTATCATTTCAACATGCAATCAATGTAAAAAATTATTTAGGTATTTTACATTCTTTTTTTTTTTTTGTACCAAGTCTTTGAAATCCAGTGCATACTTCACACTTGCGTTCACCTCCATTCAGACCCCATTTCAAGTGCTCAACGGCCACACGTGGCTTGTGGCTACATACTGGACAGGGTGAGGCCCAGAGAATGCACTGCCAGAGTTCGGTTCCACCAGGAAGGAATGGAAAACGTTTCATGGACTTCAGATGCAAGCGGGACAAATGGCCCGGGCATGGACGGCGAGGTGTGGGTGGAGAACGGCCGAGCTGTGCTTGGCCTGAAAAGAAGGACTCCACCTGCAGGAGTAAAAGGCGGGTCGTGGCCACCTCTACAGCTCTGAGGGACCAGTCGCAAAGAGGGTGAACATCTGGCAAATAGGAGAGGACTGTGAACGAGCAATTCAATGGCTGAGAGAAACAAAGGAATATACAGCTGTCTGGGAAGGTGAGCCCATCCTGGTGGGCCCGTTACGAAGCGGTTCCCCTGATTAAAGGAGGCTGCTTTCCCACGTCTGGGGTCATCAGTGGGAGCCCGATACTTCCCCATGCCAGCGGTCAAGTGTAAAGTCCTGGCCCCCAGGCTTGGAGCCTCCCCAAGGTAACACTGCATCGCACGGCGTTCACATAAATGCTTTCTGAATCACCTTGCCCGTTAAAAATCGTGCAGACTTGTTCTTGCCACCGTGGCAGGCAGAATCCAATAGTCCTATTGCCTATATAATTCACTACAAAGGCCCCGATGTGTGGCATGCTGGACATTAGTGTTAACAAGAAGCCACCTGAGTCAAATCAGCACTATGCCTGTTTATTAAGTCTCTGGTTGATCCTTATGAGAGCAGATTTGCCAGAACAGCCCTATATCCTTGCAGCAGCTCTAGTGATGATAGCAATCCTTTGCACTCTCTCCCCCATAGACCTCTCTGGACTGGGAAAAGACAATTCTTGCAAAGTTGGCATGCTAGATGTCTTGGTCAGAGAGGGAAAGAAAACTACAAAAACTAAGGCCAAGTGTCCGCCAACAGTTCTTGGAAATCACAGAAGCTCAGCTGGGAGGTCCTTAGAGAAGCATCTCATCAGTTCAGGCTACAGTTTTACAGGCGGGGGGCCTCAGGCCCCTGCCTTGGGAAAAGGAAGGCTCACAGCAGGGGTTTGCTCCCCTCCTTACAGCACAGCAGCAATGCCTGTTTTACAGACTGGGGTTCCACATGGGATTTCACTTGAAAAAAAGTTCTGCTAAAAACAGATGACCGAATCTCCCAAACAAGGAAACAAATACATTTGGAAGCTGAGCTAGGGCCACTACCCTACACCACAGACACAAAAACCAAGCCTTGGGGTGGGCCAGGGACCTGCCCAAGGTTATATTCTGCTTCTGCGACATCAGGGTTGATTAGCCAGGGGCTGGTTAGCTCTCCTTTCTCCAGCCCTCCCTCTCGACTCCTTTTCCCTCTTCCTCTGCCCATGAATTGGAATCTTCGGTTGATCACTTCAGGTCACTGCTGGGACAAAAAAGCCTCTGTAAACTGAGGCTGCTTAACGGAAGACACAAACTAAAGTCCTGGTCTTCAAAGTGCTGCCTCTGAACGAGCAGCATCGGCATCATCTGGGAACTTGTTAGAAAAGCAAATTCCTGGGCCCACCCTAGACCTCCTGAAGCAGAAACTCTGGAGGTGGCGCCCAGCAGTTTGTGTTTTAACAAGCCGCCAAAGAGATTCTGATACACGCTCAAGTTGAGAACTGCTGGTCTCCAAGGAAGGAGATGATAATCCTGCCTGCTCTTTGACGCCTGTGGACCAAATGTGGTCACTGGCAAGCACAGTCTGGCAGCTTCCAAGGTGTGTTTTGTTTTGTTTTTGTTTTCTTAATCCTAGCTTAAAAAACAGGGAGATTTCATATTGTTTTATCAAGACTTTTGGCTTCTCTTAAAAACCCAGAAGATATGTCAGTATCTGGGCTGAGTTCCCCTGGCCCCTCAGCTGAGCTGGGTAAGGCTGCCCTGTTTGGGTGGGGCATGTGTCTCCAGTTTGCCGTAGTCCCCACCATTCCTTACTGCATTTTATCTGCCTCTTGTCTCTCATTTGTGTTACTTGTCCGGTCCCAGTGAGTTTGCAACATGCTGGGAGACACAGGAATGTAACCTGGATGGGGAAGATTAGAAACTGTGTCGTATGAGGACTAGGAGAAAGAAGCCTTGGTGGTGGGGGGGATGGGAGGAGTTATCTTGTTCTCGGAGGTCCTGAGAATAGAGAAAGTGCCAGTCATGGAAGTTGCCAGATAATTGAGGGGTCTAAGATAGAGAATTCTGGTATAGTAGGTCTGGGATAGGGCCTGAGATCCAGCATTTCTAACAAGGTCCCAGGGGACGCTGATGCTACTAGTCCACAAAAGACACTTGGAGTAGCAAGGGTTAAGCAACTTTTAAAGGACATGTCAAGAGTCTAAGAGTCCACGAAGGGTATTGTTTCCCCCATGTTTGTGAAAGCCTTCCAACGCCACTGGGAAGGGGGTACAGGGATGAACCTCACAGTCTTGACCTCACAGAAGTAAACTCCTTGAATCTTGTTCTTAAAATGAAACACTGGATTGCTGAGCTGACAGCACTGAGGATTAAGATTCTAAAATCCTGGGCGTTTCATAGCCAGCTCCACTGCCTTTGCCTTAATGATGCACATCCCTCCTTCCTTCCCTCCCTCCTAAGATCTACAGAGATGGTCTACGCTGTTTTAGGTAGTCTCATTAGTCCTTACTTCTTCCTTAAACCAAGAAGACTTCAGAGCTTGCTGACACAGGGAGTTCTACATGTCTAAGCACACAGCTGCTCAAGCCCTCACACATCTGAGCTAAGCAGCTGCTCGGAGACAATTAGTCCAACTCCCCTCATCTCACAGACGGGAAAACTGAAGTCCAAACAGGCCGAGCTACCCAACCAAGGCCTCACAGCAGGCAAGAGGATACGAGCCATGTCCTTTGACTCTCGGGATAGTTTTTTGACTCTGCGCAAGCTACAGGCGTCACACGCACCTGAATTTTCCCAGCTGGAAAATGGAGATGGCACTACTTGCCCAGAAGGTACTTTTGGATGACCCAAGACAATCACGAACAGTATATCCTGAACGCTGTCATAATTTACACAGATTGTGGATATTGACTCCTTTAGAATTTTAAGGATCTACTGTAAATTGACATCCCACCAAATCATGTAGATACAGGACTCAAATTTTACTATATAGGTTTAAAAAGTTTCCAATAATAGGTGGGCCTCACAGGTGTGATGACAACAGATCTCGTGTAGGCACCAACAGGTTTACAGTCAGATCAGCCTCTCTCAAAGGTAGTACTTGGGGTACCTGGGCCCCGATTAGAGACGCAAATTCCTGGACCCCACCCTGAACCTACTGAGACAGGAATCCAGGAAGATGTGTTTTGTAAAACACATTTTCCATGTGATTCTGATTCATAATAAAGTTGGAAAACTATTTGTCTAAATCCAGCGGCCTCATTTTACAGATATGAAGTCTGAGGCAAACGGAGTAGAATGGATTTGCCCCAAATCCTGTAGCTTTTCAGCCCCCAGGACCAACCCAGATCTGGCTGTTTTCTCCCCGGTATAGACCCTGAGCTTCCTGAAGGCGAGGGCATTTCGCCACTGTGTCTGGCTCATCTCAGGCCCTCGATACCCAGCCGAATGAATGAATACTCATCAGTGGGGCAGGTAGTCAGTTTAATAACTCAGAGCATTCTGGTTCTAGAGTTAGAAAAACCTAGGTTCCACTTCCCGGGTAGGTAGACCCCAGTTTCCCTAACTGAGGGCCAACTAACAGAATAAAGGTATCTACTCCTGGGTAGTTGGGAGGATTAACTGAGCTCATCTATACAAAGTATTTAGCTCAGTGTCTGGGACAAAGTTAGGTCCTCTCAGTAAAGGAGAGCTACTACCAACACATTATTTTTGGAGAAAGTTTATGAAAACAAGGTGTGTTCCAATGTTTGCGACGGCCATCTTTGGGGGAATAGGAGAGGAAATGGGATTCTCATAATATAACTGTGGGTCCTGCAGAAGCAACCTATTTAACACCTGATCCAATTCAACTGGCTCTTGCTGATAACAGGATTTAGTGAGTTTCCTCATTAACAGGATGTCATATGCCCATGTGGAAACTCGGTGTTCTTCAAGGAAAGAAAGAAGTTCTTAGTTAATGGGGGCATGGTACAATGGAAACAAATGCCACAAGACCTTTAACAACAGGAAAGGCAGGAACAATGCTTTTCAAAAGACAGCAATTCTTATGCAATAGCAATCACTTAATGTTATGTAAAAGAGCACGTCTGGATTTTTCAATCCAGAAGTAATTTTAAGTTTCTTTAATTCTGTAGCCTCAAAGATTTGTCTATAAAAGCTGTGATTGTTTTCCTTCAGCAACCCTCTTCTGCTGCTTTTCTTCCCCTCAGTTTCCAGATGTCCTTTTGCTACAGGAAGCAAAGGGCTTGAGAAGGAGCGTGGCGAGAGAAG